TATAAAATATGTTTACCGGTAGGAGTATCCTTGTACTCCATATTAATACATGTTGACTTATCAAAAAAACAATCCCCCTCCTTAGCCATCCTCCTTTTATCATTTCTTCTCTTGATGATATCCACCTCAAATGGATGCCTACTTTTTCCTCTGCTCTCTTTTCATTACCATCTTCATCCTTTGATTTGTACCCCCATAGCTTACTGTAATGATGATGATGATGTTGATCAGAAGTATCTGACATGCAAGAGCACCTACAATTGTGGAATCTTAAAAGACATAGGCTACCCTTTTTGGGGCAATGGCAGGCCCCAATTCTGTGGCCACCAAGGTTTTGAACTCCTTTGTGAAGAAGGGCAGTACTCCACAATGCATATTGGTGGACAGAAGTATCAAGTACTGAATATAAGTCATTCAACTGCCGCGATAATGACCATAGTTCCTATAGGGATATGGGGACAAGATGCTTGTCCTGAGAAATTCATCAATGTCTCCTTGAGCCAAAGCCTTTTCACGTTTGCTCCATCTGCTCGGAACCTCTACTTCTTCTACGGTTGCCCTCCACAAATAGATAACATGCTTGTTCGGAACATATTTAACTGCACCATTGATGGCGGTTGGCAGTGTTGGAGAAATAGGGTAGAAAATCTGCAAATGGCTTCAAGGCGTGCTGCAAATGCCACTTTTCTTTAGGCTAATTTTGCCCCCATCAGATCTGAGATACAAAAGGGGTAACCCGAAATGCCTGTAGGAGACAATGAAGTGCCTTGTTGATTTTGCCTTTGCGTTAGCAATATTAACCACTGAACCATCCTTTGAAAAGTGACAAAACAATAGTTTTTGTATAGGGATTTTTACAGCAATTGAAGTGCAAAAAGGGGTTGTTTTATTTAGATAATAGTAGGGGTTTGTTTATGGGTTCAAGAGACAAAGATGAAGAAATAACTTCATGTTTATAGAGGCAAAATGTATGTTGGGAACTGACTTTACTTTTCAGTTTATTATTAGTTTATTAACAAATAATAACTGAGTTTTCATGAAATTTATCCGTTAGAAACTCTTCCAAAAGTCATTTGGTTTGATTTGAAGTTCAACTCATGTGTTTCCTTATTTTCCAAAGTTATCCACTCTCTTTAGAAACTTATCAGAATTTTATTTAAGGGCACCACTTTATCAAATTTTTGATGCCATTGTTTAGGGGCTTGCTTAAGTCCATACAAGGATTTTATAAGCTTGCAAACTTTCTTTTCTTGCTCAAGCATCACAAACCCTTTTGGTTGCTCCATGTATACTTCTTCATCTAATTCACCATTTAAAAATGTCGTTTTAACATCCATTTGGTGAATTACCAATTTGTAAATTGATGCCAAAGCAATTAATACTCTTATAGTGGCAATCCTTGCTATCGGAGCATAGGTATCAAAATAATTTATACCATGCTTTTGTGAATAGTCTTTTGCCATTAATATTGCCTTGAATTTGTCTATTGTGCTATCAGCTTTCAGTTTCTTTTTGAAAATCCATTTGCAACCTATAGGTTTGCAACCTATAGGTTTGCAACCTATAGGTTTGCAACCTGGTGGGTGATCCACTAAAATCCATGTGTTATTCCCCATTATGGAACTCATTTCCTCATCTATGGCTTCTTTCCAAAAAGCTGAATCTTGTGACTTAATTGTTTCTTCAAATGTCACAGGATCAACTTCTATATTATAGTAAAATTTAGTTACTTTCCTTGTCTTTTCTCTTGTTCCTTCAATAAGAAACATGTAAAATTTTGAACCACATGTTCTTGCTTTTCTAGCTCTTTTGCATCTTCTAACTTCAATGTTTTCTTCCAACTTGTTTTCTTGCAGGTTGTGTTTTATTCTTTGTTTTGAACTTTCAACAATTGTTTCTTTAGGTTTCTTTAGGTCTAGGAATTGAATTAAATCTACTCTCTTCAAAGATAGCATCTCTTGATTCAATTATGGTGTTGACATTAATTGAATCATTTGGTTCAATGACCATAAACCGATATGCCTTACTATTTTCTACATACCCTAAAAATATACGTTCAATTCCTCTTTCACCTAACTTTTTCTGTTTAGGTTCAGGTACTCTTACAATTGCTCTACAACCCCAAACTCTTAAATAGTTAAGGTTTGGTTTTCTTTTCTTCCAAAGTTCATATGGAATAACTTGGCCTTTTTTAGTAGGCACCCTATTCAATATATGGCATGCTATTAGCAATGCTTCACCCCAAAAATCTAGACTTAAACCAAAATTTGATAACATGGCATTCACTATTTCAGTTAAAACTCTATTCCTATGTTCTGCCACTCCATTTTGTTGTGGTGTGTATGAGGCTGTTATCTCATGGATAATTCTAGTGGATTCAAAGTAAGATGGGTCATAATATTCTCCACCTTTATCAGTTCTTAGACATTTGATAAATGTCTCACTTTGCAATTCCACTTCTGCTTTATAAACTTTGAATTTTTCCATTGCTTCATCTTTTGTATTTAACAAGTAAACATAAAAGAATTTTGAATAATCATCAATAAAATTAACATAATATTTCTTGCCACCAATCGTAGGAGTACTATACATGTCACAAACATCACTATGCACAAGATCAAGCAATTTAGAAACTCTTTCAATCTTAGGAAAAGGAATTCTAATAATCTTAGTAAGCATACATGTCTTGCATTGTGATTCATTTTTAGGCAAGGTATGAATTAATTCTAATTTATACATCTCATGCATCTTCCTGAAATTAACATGTCCTAGTCTATAATGCCATAAATTAAATGAGTCAAGAATATAAGCAGAAACAATACCCTTATTATTAGTATTATTATTAATGTTTATCTTGAACATGCCCTCACAAGCATAGCCTTTTCCTACAAAAATCTCACTCTTAGACAAAATAAATTTATCTGCCTCAAATACAAGTTTAAAACCAAATTTGTTCAACAAACTTGTTGAAACTAGATTTTTCCTAATATCCGGCACATAATGCACATTAGTGAGAATGAGAACTTTTCCAAAAGTGAACTCAAGGTCCATGGTTCCTTTGCCTTTCACTTGTACTACTGCAGAATTTCCCACATACACCACACTTCCTTCAGGTTCTGGTTTTAAAGTCTTGAATAGACTTTTGTCCTTACAAACATGCTTTGTAGCACTAGAATCTATCCACCAAGTAGTGTCATCTTCCATGAGATTAATTTCAGAAATCACATCAATGAATTGTTCATGTGATAATGTTGGTGCATTCCTTTTCTTCTTGAGAAAATAACACTCCCTTTTGAAGTGTCCAGTTTTTCCACAATGGAAACATGCACCCTTTTGCTTCTTAAATTTCTTATTTTGCTTGACAAAATACTCCTTCTTCTTGAAAGGCTTTTTGGGCTTGCTTAAAGCTCCTTCCTCCAATACATGCACATCCGAGACTTGCACTTTCTGCTCCTTTTCATTTTCTACTCTATATTGCTCTTCAAGTCTCAAAGAGTTAGTAAGATTTTCAAGAGAAATATCTTTCTTTTTATGTTTTAGTGTTCTCTTGAAATATTTCCATGCATGAGGAAGTTTATAAATTATTGAAGACACAACTATGGATTCATTCATCTTCATATCATATTGTTTGAAACTATTCAGCAACTTTTCAATGTCTCTAAATTGTTCAATGATTGATTTGTTATCAATCATTTTATAATTATTCCATCTAATCACCAGAAACTTTTTACTTGTTGCATCTTCATTCGTATATCTTGCTTCTAGCTTATCCCATAATTCTTTTGCAGTAGACTCATGAACATAGGTATCAAAAAGGGAATCAGACATACCATTTAAGATGCAGCCCTTGCAGACATAATCATCATTCTCCCACTTTTTCCTTTTACTTGTATCTTGCAAAGTTTCATTATCATTTTCCTCTAGTCGAGCATCAGTGAGAACATAAACGATGTTGAGAGTTGTGAGAAGGATATGCATCTTGCATTGCCATCGAATAAAGTTGCCCCTCATCAAAGTGATCTAACTTCTAGAAATTAGCAGCCATCTCACGCAAAGTTGCAGCCATAATTGCATAATAAAAAATTAGCCTACAGATTGTTGGAGAAATAGCGTAGAAAATCTGCAAATGGCTTCAAGGCGTGCTACAAATGCCACTTTCCTTTAGGTTAATTTTGCCTCCACCAGATTTGATATGCAAAAGCGGTAACCCGAAATGCCCGTAGGATATAATGAAGCACCTTGTTGATCTTGCCTTTGCACTAGCAAAATCAACCATTGAACCGTCCTTTGGAAAGCGACAAAACAATAATTTTTGTATAAGGATTTCTGCAGCAATCGAAGTGCAAAAATGGGCTGTTTTATTTAGATAATAGTAGGGGTTTGTTTCTAGGTTCAAGAGACGAAGAAGAAGAGATAACTTCATATTTATAGGGGCAAGATGTCTGTTGGGAACAGACGTTCCTTTTGAGTTTATTATCAGTTTATTAATGGATAATAATTGAGTTTTCATGAAATTTATCTGTTGGAAACTCTTTCGAAAGTCATTTGGTTTGATTTGAACTTTAACTCACGTGTTTCCTTGCCTTCCAAAGTTATCCACTCTTTTCAGAAACTTATCAAAATGTTATCTTTTATTTCTGACGTAAATGGTTCGAACCCAATAAATATGGTTTGAATCAAAATCGTAACTTTCCGAATTCTAATTTTACGTAAATGGTTCGAACCATAATTATATGATTCGAACCAAAGTTACATTTTCTCAAATGCATTCTGTGCAATTGCTTCAAAATTATTTTTTGTGATTCGAACCCAATTCTTGGAAATATTTTGAAAATTCTTCAACAAGTAGGATGCTTATTATTTGGATGAATCGCTACTAAGGATCAACGTTCCCAACCTTACGAAGTGTAGCATCAGCATCTCTGTTCCTGTGAATCAGATGGCTTTTGAAGAGCTGTCAAGCAGAAATGAGGCTCTGGATGTTGCTCTGAATGAAGGGTTTGATGTACAGTATACCTCAGTCATCCTGAACTGTTCTGCCTGCCAAAATTCAGGTGGGAGATGTGGATCAAACATTACATCGCTTGAGTTCTTATGCCCCTGCCCTGACCAACTTTACCCTCGAATGTGTCTCAAACCTGGTACGCATGTTTATTCCTTTCACATTAACAAGATATTTCTCTTCATTTTTTTCCTCTATATGATTCTTGATCTTAAATATCCTAAAGGAACTGTCTTAACTTAGGAAATTCAAAATTTTGACGTTTAAAACACAATTTGCCTTCATAATCCTACGATTTGCCTAGTTTGGTGGGTTTTAATTCTAGTTCAAGTTATTAACTGATGAATGTTTTTTTTTGAACTAGATAAACTGACTTAGAGCATGTTTGGTAAAA